TACTACTCATTCAAGATACAAATTCCGATCCTCAATCAAGGAAAGACTAAAGAAGCACGTTCATAGTTTCCGATTGTCGTTTTGATCCCAAACCCAAAACAGGACTCGACAATGATTTTGGATGCTCGTGCCATTTCGACACTGTACCGGTACCAAGAGACTATTCATACCATGGTTTGACGAATACGTACGAGTAACAAGTTCGTACAGGGTGCTTTCCGTACGGGTATGAACCATTACGAACGTACGCATACTAGTACGAGTAGGGTACGTACCAAGTATCCTCCATCAGTCTCGAACTTGCTTTTCTGAACGCTCATGATCTAAAGAGATGATGTGCCGTTTCTTAAATACCACAAGTAACCGTACAACTAGCAAAGAGAAAGGAAAGAAGGATTCCAAAACACAGATAGGATCCAAACAACTAAGTGACAAGATACAAAAGGAAAACTTGAGGAATAGCGCTGGTTGCATGTGAGACAATTGCATGTGAGACAATATTGTGTCGTGGTTGTATCATGACGAAGAATCCCGAATCGCCACGGGTTTTGTCCCATCCCGAGCTTGTAGAGAGAATCGAAGGTCTGGTCCGGGAAGAGAAACATTTAGAAGCGGTGCGTCTGATACGATCGATCGGAGATCCATCCTTGGTATCCGAATTCCACCAAAAACTTCTCAACAAGGCCAGGATCATCGAGCACGCCGTGGCCGAACTTCTTTCTTCCCCCCAAGAAGAATGGATCAAACAAGGCGAGTCTCACGGGCGGTATGACTTCACGATATATTACAAGGTCGAAGACGGAGCTCGGCTGACTTGTCGCATAGAGTCACCTGTTCCTTGCAGTCTCTTGGTACCATTGCTCAGTGTCTTGAACGAGAGCGATCTCTACAGCACCTGGATACCTTCGTGGCAGACCCCCATCAAATTGGGGGTGCATGAATCAAACCAGCTGCTCCACGACAGCCGGGGTCACCAGGTCATCCAGGTCGTTGCCTCGGTTCCCTGGCCAATGAAGCCGAGAGAGGCTCTGTTTTCGGTGCAGGCCGTGGACGATATTGACACGAATGGATTCATTGTCGCAACGATGACTACCATCGACGACTCGGAGGAAGGAGAAACGGTGAAGAAAACCCTACCCAATGATTTCGATGTTCCCGGACCATCGCTGGGAACAGTGCGCTGTGACTTCAACGGAAGTCTTCTCTTCCGGAGCTGCCCGCTCGATCACCCCAACTACGATGCCACMCGACGAAAGTTTCCCCAGGACGACCTGATTTTGTTGCAATTTATTATGCACATAGATGCGAAAATGACCATGGTGCCCCAGACCATGATMAATTTTGTCACGCGTACAGCCTTGGGTATTATTTGGAGCATGCTGCTGAGGGTTGCCGAAGAAGTGCGCGACGGAGGCAGAGAGGAACACCGTCGTGTTATATCCGAGAAGGCCGACTTTTACCGTTGGGTCGAAGAACGATGCGACTACATGCTGCACACTATCAATACAAGCAGTGACGCCGATAGAAACAATGATGCGACACGTGGCAAAGCGCAGCGTCGACAACAAGATCATCAAGAAGAGAATCACTCAGTAAAATCACARAACATTGAGAGAGAAAAGAAACCTTGGACACTTCAAGACGTGCTTCGGATGAATATGTAAATTTGTAATGTAAAGAACTTTTTCACTGCTTACATTTGATTGAAATGCATGCGTCAAGTTACGTAACATGTTATCTTCTACGCTGAATGTAGCGAATAGTTTACCAAAACTATTTTCCTTTTTTCGCCAAGTGCAGAAACTAGAAATACAGTACAATTCTATTAGTCTTAGTTAGTGCTTTCCACACGCATACATGCACGAACAWTCGTGAAATTTTGCGGAAAGCTAACACTTCTAATCCGAGGAATCATGGCCTTTTACTGAAAGGATATCCCATTGAATATCTTCTGGCACAAGGTCCAAATCCACCTCCATATCGGGAAACAATTCAGCCGTGGTTTCAAAGACTAGGTCCTGGCGAGAGCATTCACCATAATGCCATGCAAGCCTACCATCATTGTCATGCTCCAGAAGAGATTGTGCGTATGCATCGATTAGTAGCTTAAGAATTGCTGGGCTGCATGATGGCGACGCAGATGCCATGTGGATCGGTAGGCGGCCATTGTTGTCCTTCGTCGATAATTGTTGAATGCAAGATTGGTCACTCGTCACGGTCGATGTAACTCCATCCCCATCTTGACCAAAGAGAAGGCATCGAACGATATCGTATGCACCCTTAGATTTTGATAATACCGCGTAGTGAATTGGAAGCCGACCGTGCAAATCTTGTCGAAGCCGCGCATCGGGCTCTCCAAGCAACCACTGACGAACGTTGGATTTCTTCGTCGACTTAGATATTAGCGAAGGGTACAATATTTCGCCGTTGAATACGGTTGAATCAAAAATACATCTGCTTCGACTGGGTGCAACCTGCTCCGGCCACTTCCGCAGCAAGCTATAAATTTGTGATAGCGAATGATTTTGTGTGCAAGCCAAAAAAAGCGGGGTACTGCCARAGCCGTCTTGGAGTCGTAAACTCGCTCCGCACCCCGCGGCAAGGATTTCAATCAACTCGTCGTAACCCGACTTTTCGAGGAGACTGCATTTATTCAGCATCYGGTGGATTTTGAGAGCGCCAGATTCGTCGGGGAATGACAACAGTACGGGGTGTTGCTTCACGAGGAGTTCAACTATGGCAGGGTTGGGAATCSTAACTTCCAAGGCATGGTCAAGAGGAAAGTTTCCGTTGAAGTCTCTATACTGGCAAGCATCAGGAAAGCAGAGAAGAAACTGGATGACATCCTCTCTTTCGGTCCTCTTCGATGCTAAGTGTAGTGGCAATTCGCCGCCCGTTGTTGTCGGTGTGACAAGACACTCGGGATAAGCGTTGACGATCTTCGATATGACGTCCACTATATTATCGCCCCATCTTCCCAGTAAAAGGCGGTGAATTGGCAAAAAACCGTCGTCGTCTGTTTTTTCCAGAGCTTCTGGATAAGCTCTCAGGATGATATCAATGATTTCCGTCTTGTCGGAAAAGAACCTGAAAGCTTTGTGCAACAGTGTTTGACCATATAAAAATTCACGTTTCGCTTCCGAAGGCTTCCGATGAAATAAATCTCTCATTGCGTTAGGCTCTGGACACCCTCGATAACTTCTGTCCAGCAATTCATATACCTGATACGCATCATGATAAAAYTCAGTCATGATATTCGATGTATTGGTTCTTTCTTTCCTCCTGATTCCTCCCTTCCCTCGTTTCCTTATTCAAAGGAAATCGAATAAGTTTGAGCTAATGGCAATCTGTAAAACTGCGCGTGTATTTCGTCCGATGTAGCTTCAATGCGGACACTTTCAAGATATGCATCTCATTATGTTGTGGTATAATGATAATCAATATGATATCATGTTGAAAGTTTTGCTCCCTATTCATCTCCCGTGTCTATGATTAACCATTTCGAACACCATCCACTGATCCTAATGGGAAACGGAACTGACAAACTAGATATGTGCCAACAAATCTGAAGAAGACACGTACACGTAGTACGTACTCCTACGTATTTTCAC